TGCGAATGGATTTCCTTTTGAGCGAACAAAGGCACATGAGAAACATCTTTTAATCCATGTGAAAATCAGCATTTTATTTTGAAAGAAAAACTCTTGAAGATTGAAGTATTCCAAATTCTGAAAAGAAGGTTTTTACTGTCACCAATCATTTGCCAATGCATCAACGCATTCAACTTAATATGGTAGAAAGAGCTGGGTACATTTTAGCTTATAAAAGTGACTCGCTCAACTATGCTTCCAGTCGGTATTTTTCTCACGATCGACATGAAGACGAGGGCGTTTCGAGGAGGAATTTGATCCACAATCCTGTGGTAGTAGCAGCGCGTTGCCACTATACTGCGAAACACTCATATATCTTCTTTTCTATCTAAGGGGCACTTATTGTTGAGTGAATGTAGTTGAACATGGTTATCATCTTTGAGATTGTAATATTATCCTCTTTCTTAATCTTCTGTTTAACCGTCTATTCATTTTTTGTTGCATAAATGTAAAAAATTATAGATGAGTACAGACCTATTTTCGTGCGAATCAGAGGTGGTCCAAGTAGAGACGGTACAGTAAGAGGTGGTGCATATTGGGGTCCAACACAAAAGGGTACCCCATACTTGTGCTCACGGGAGGCTATCCCATATGAAGAAAGTAAGTTTCACGCTAACATTGAAAATGCTACTCAATATCTAGTTCAGTAATCTCTGATTAATTGTATTTCCAGCTTCGCAAGATTTTGACGAGTTTTTAAAACAGCTTGGTTTTGATACCCTTATGGTTAGAGACAAATTTGGACAGAAGCGCTCATTCGTAGTCTTTGACACAGTGTACGCCGTCGAAGCACAACAGTTCAAGGCCGATTACACGAAACTCCATGATCCCTGCACTGTTAGTTTTCTATCGATTAGCATTAAACTAGAACAAAAGATTTTGGTAATATTTAGTAGTCAAAATATGAAATTTTGGAGAATATGTGCCCCACTACCGTATCTGCCCACCTCTTAAAAATCCGAATTTTATAAAAAGCTAGCTAATTGCTTACGCTCAGAACAGCTGATTTTGAGTCTGCAAAAAAGTTCCCGGAAAATTGCTAATCTCTGCAATATGCTAAATATCTTCATAAATTT